TTATGCATGTATATGAGTGACAGTATTCCAGCCCTTGCACTCCATCCGATAGTGAATACGAGTACAATCATGTACTTTCAAGCGCAGTAAAATTGATTTGTGGCTTTGAAAGAGATCGGAAGAGAGCACTCTTTGTCTTTTCAGTTCATTTGCGGGAAAGGTCAGAGATAAGAGCAGTTGCCAGAGGGTGATCAGAAGATTCTTCCCTCTAGAAACAACATGAAATCCTCTAGGTCATGTTGATAAACCAGCCAGATGTCTACAGATGTCAACAGTGCGGTGCCACAAATTTCTAACGTAGCAAAAGTATCGTGGAATTTTTTCATAAACTGGTGTTCGAGGTACACGGGTAGAGCCGACAAGAATCGATAAAACCAATATATCGATCGTTAATGATATTGGTTGATCGTTAAGAGTTATTGAATGATCGTTTCAGCCCTACTAATAATGCGAGAGTCTTTACAGATTCCAATGCTCTCATGCCTTTTGCAAGTTCCGTTTGTAAGTCAAATGGAACATGGTTTGTGGTCAATACTTCAGCAGTAGTGGTGCGAGAATATTAGGGTGTCAAATTGCTCGGAATTGATGTATGATAACGGAGAATATACCAACATGTGAATCACTTGGAGATATGGTTTGCCAGGTTCTGTTCACACTCACTAGGCTAGACCCTCTCGAATATTGTACAACAGTTTTGGCCCAGGAGTGGTAAAGGGCACGGGGCAAGCTATGTCGGGACCTGCTGTAAAGTCCGCCATACACGAGCTGTACGTCTTATCGGATGGGATATACCCCTGATATTGCTGATAATGAATGGCCCAGTTTCATTGTACTGCTGTCCGCGATATTATATCCTTAGTGGCATTGTTAACTTCTCATTGCTTGTGGGGACGCATGGATCATACGTCCATCCAACACCTGCCAATCGGAACCCACCGACAACGCTGTCGGTTGGGTTGGACCACAATCGGTTGGTTTTTGAGTCCAAGATGCCGCCTAGGTAGCACACAGCATTGCTAATCTGATTTTAAATTAGCTGCGCAAATCCTGGCATACTGCCCGTAAATGCATCTAACTCCCAGGGTACTTATGAGTTTTTAGGTCTATGTGGTACTTGTGTCGCATTGGCAGCCACTGTTCCGTTCTGTATTTTCTGGTGTATGTGTCGTTGAATCTCCACAGAAAATGTGCTCACGCATTAGAAGGAGGTGAAAGATGCACCTGCAGGAGAATACATGCTTAAGAGAAGGCAGAAACATGCCCAGATCCACCAGAACTAGTGCTGGCAAGTCAACAGAGGCGAGTACTGATAATGTTCCAGATTGTGGTAGGATCACATAAGCAAAATTGACACTGGGAGGCACGGCGGTGGGTCAGCTCATGGCCAGCGCCAGCTCCAGTGGATATCACGTGCATCCAGTTCTAGTACTATAGTATGACTGCTACAAAGTAGTGCGGCCCAAATAGAACTCGGGTCAGGTGCCGAAGAACTGGGGGGGGGGGGGGCATGTGCCAATGAATGGTAATAACTCCGGAAATCATGCTGGTGTATCGAGGGCGTGGGCCAATGAAGTGCTGGATTGATGGTGGACGACTGTACTGCAATCTTGGCTGGTCCCACTATCGCAGAGACAGCACTTCCTGGTGCAACCACCCTATCCTGCAATCTATATAATAATTATTATAAGAGATTTGTGTGAACGATTTTAGCATGATGCAAGTCAGCTTATTGTGCTGGGGGCCTGGCTACATGTCACTATAGCTTTTTATAGACTCGATCACCGCATTACGCTGCCTTGCGTTGACTTGATCGAGCACTCTTTTTGGTTAGTGTCAAAGGTATATGTAATATGTATCTGCCTTCGTGCAAAGCTCTCTTTGTGCGTGTCTTGCAGATAGCTCGCTGACTTTGATGCTTTGAGCCATTTTCAAATTGCTTTTTTTGTTCATTTCATATAGACCGTATTGCCATTTGTTTAACCTCCCGCTCTGAGCTCCACTGATGGGACCTAAAAGGCTGAAACAGCTGTCTGGAGATTGAGCGTCAGTATTATGGATTTAGAATACACGATCTGGGGACAGCACTAGTACTGTCTAGCTGTTTCGTCCTTTGTGGACTCATCAGCGAATCACGGAGAAATAACTCTTAACTAAGGATGAACCTAGCAGCCATGAAAATAGATAAATAATGCCTCCAAGCCAGAATTCAAGGCTACATGTGTAGGCCCGAATGTGCCTTGTCCGAGTGCTGAAACTGATGTCATTGAGATACGCATAGAACATCTGGCAAAGGAACTACTAAAGCCCCCACAAGCACGGTATTCTACTTCAACAAGGAAGAATTTTGAAAGCATGCACAGCCCTACATGTATAATGTTGGTATAGGTAAGCCTTGTTTGATAAATTAACATGACAAGGCGGGGGACGCACTGTGTTAAATAACAGTGCTCCTGATACACTAGTGTGTCCTCGGCTTTGTCACATGCTGTCAACCGATCAACACATACAACGTTGCATGCAAAACGGCTGCAGCCTCGAAGTACGGAGTGCTATTTTGGAAAATGCTAGATATACAGCCTGTACTTATACAGGTGTTCTATCAACTAGTGCCATTATGACAACGGTAGCTGAATGATACATGTACATAAACCCGGGGTCATCATTGCAAGAACCTCTGGGTCTAAGCCCGAAGTAACATTCAACTACATGACTGTATACACAATCATGTATACACCATCTTCGTAGTAACTGAGTCTACCCCTCACCCACTACTGCCACTGTGACCACAATTGCGCACAAACAGAGGACCTACTTCTAACTACAGTGCTGGCCAAAGAAATCCAACCTTATGAATAAAATTGCACCGGGCGCTACGCAGCCCTAGTAGTATACATACTGGACCGGTCTGTGCTCTCGAAGGCGGCGCTACTTTATTAACGCGGTTGGATTTCTCTCGCCAGCACTGTACAAAATACACACATGCACACACAACACTGCTAGGCTTTCCACCACCACACTAGGTTTTGAAACCGAAGAGTGGCAAAATTCAGGGCCAGACTAGAAAATCTGGGGAGACCAGATGGTTTTTTAAAGCAAAACACAGCCAACACTCTGCAGCCTCACAGCCTCAGGCAGGTTTTCCCGAGTGCACAAAATTAAAAGTTGTTGAGGCACCACGAATACAGTCAGGCGTCACAGAACGTGGGACCCAGGAATGTACATGTATAGTATACCTCTAGGAACACCACAGCCAATAACGTTTTAAAACGAAACGCAGTGTCAATAGACTCAAGTCTCTGCTTTTCTGGAATACAGATTCTGCTACACACGTATTGCTCACTATCCAGTGGGATGTGCATCTAAGAAGGTGGTACAAGAAGTCAAGGAACTAAGCCTAAGGCCAGATTGCTGAAAGGTTTGTATAACTGACGAGCCTGACCTTGGAAACAACAGCCGTGGATACGTGGCTCTACTGTAATAAATGTACAGGTACACAAACAATTTGAATGCAGAAATAACAACAACAAACAGGGAGAGGTGTAGGAAAATATACTCGGCCCCTAGTGAATTTGCTTGTGTATTAGCTTGAAAACTTTGGGTACACTTGTTGAGAGACCTAACTGCATGCAGCTAAAATATGGAGTGCCGTTGTCACCGACGACTTTTCCAGTAAAGTTGCGGCTAACATCTTCTCAGGTATTCCCGGGTCTTCGCTAAGGCCGTAAGGGTGAATGATATCATGTGCGTCTTCTATTGCTGATGTCGCTGCACTCGATGGTGGTGCTGATGTACTGATTGTGGTGGAAGATATTGAGATGCCGTATGTCTCGAACTTTTCGCCAAGTCTCCGCGGCCATCGCGCAAGAGGGTCGGGAGCACCACAACTGCAACGCCACAGATCCAAGGATCAATTCTCGGACAAAACATTCTTCAGATTGCCAAAGGTCCGTCCCCAGTGCTTGGCAATACTGGCCTGTACAGCATGAACACACCACACATACGCCCACACACCATGTACCATGTAAACGCCAGACGGTTTTTTAAAGCAAAACACAGCCAACACTCTGCAGCCTCACAGCCTCAGGCAGGTTTTCCCGAGTGCACAAAATTAAAAGTTGTTGAGGCACCACGAATACAGTCAGGCGTCACAGAACGTGGGACCCAGGAATGTACATGTATAGTATACCTCTAGGAACACCACAGCCAATAACGTTTTAAAACGAAACGCAGTGTCAATAGACTCAAGTCTCTGCTTTTCTGGAATACAGATTCTGCTACACACGTATTGCTCACTATCCAGTGGGATGTGCATCTAAGAAGGTGGTACAAGAAGTCAAGGAACTAAGCCTAAGGCCAGATTGCTGAAAGGTTTGTATAACTGACGAGCCTGACCTTGGAAACAACAGCCGTGGATACGTGGCTCTACTGTAATAAATGTACAGGTACACAAACAATTTGAATGCAGAAATAACAACAACAAACAGGGAGAGGTGTAGGAAAATATACTCGGCCCCTAGTGAATTTGCTTGTGTATTAGCTTGAAAACTTTGGGTACACTTGTTGAGAGACCTAACTGCATGCAGCTAAAATATGGAGTGCCGTTGTCACCGACGACTTTTCCAGTAAAGTTGCGGCTAACATCTTCTCAGGTATTCCCGGGTCTTCGCTAAGGCCGTAAGGGTGAATGATATCATGTGCGTCTTCTATTGCTGATGTCGCTGCACTCGATGGTGGTGCTGATGTACTGATTGTGGTGGAAGATATTGAGATGCCGTATGTCTCGAACTTTTCGCCAAGTCTCCGCGGCCATCGCGCAAGAGGGTCGGGAGCACCACAACTGCAACGCCACAGATCCAAGGATCAATTCTCGGACAAAACATTCTTCAGATTGCCAAAGGTCCGTCCCCAGTGCTTGGCAATACTGGCCTGTACAGCATGAACACACCACACATACGCCCACACACCATGTACCATGTAAACGCCCGTTGCAGGAGAAGCACGCAAATCTGTAAATGAATTGGATGTGCACCCACAGATTTTCTCGTATAGGAACAATAGCTGATCTGAATCTGAATAAAACAGATCAAGACTAGTGCCAGATAACAGTCTAATCCGCACAAGGCAACTGGCGCAGCCATGTGAATCTCGAGCAAAATGGACAAACATGTCCCCAATTATCAGCAAACGGGTGTGCGTTACAGGATTGGCCTGGTAACTTCAAACAGGCACAATCCACTAACGTGGTGCCCGTCAACTTCAACGGGAACACACCGATACAAACACAGCCCCACAACAGCAAAACGGGAACGCCGTTACAAATATGGTGCCCTGGCAACTTAACGGGAACGCACCAACACAAGCTGGCCTGGCACCTTCAAACAGGCACAACTGACAAAACACGGCATCCGGCAACAGCAAATGGGTAGGTACACCGTTACAAGAACAGTCCATCGCACCAAAATGCTGCTGCCACAACATTATAGCAGCAGCACGCCAGACATGCATACATGGCATTCCCAAAAGCAGATACCTGGAGTCAAATTCATCCATCACACTGTTTGTTAGGGCTGAATTTTACAGTGACAATAGCAAATCCCACCTAAGGCACATGTGATGAGATCTGTACACCAACTATAGTCACAGAATCAATGCACATTAGTAGAGCATAAGAACTCACTTGCGCTCATACCCTGTCACGTAGAGATGCTACTCTACGTGTACTGTTCCGATGTCCATTGGGGTGGTATGCCGGCCACTTGCCAGATGTAGAGCTTTTAAGCCGTACTTTGCCACCGTCTGCTTGCCGTATCACCACCTCACTTGCAACTCTGGATTCCAGGACTGTCGCTCCAACAATGGGCATGGAGCGGGAGCTAACCTGATAACAGTTGAGAGCGTGACAGAGTATCTTATTTAAATAAGGCCGAGTAAGGTGGATCCCTTTGGCAAACGTGAACACAGGCTTGGTGCTACAGGCATGGGCTGTCATGTACCGGAATAGCCAATACCGGGCATGTTTCGTCGACAGTAGATGGAACTGCGACGGCTCCACCGTATATGGCCGCGTCTTAGTGACCTTCAGGCGCAACGTGACCAAGTCAGGTGCGAGACTCCCAGCCTCCCACACAAATACTCTTTGGCTGTCAAACGAGTGAATACTAGTAGATGATGCTAAATACTCGCTGGCAAACAATAAGCCATACAAGGCCAGTAGTATACTTACCCACAGCATAGCCTGATCTACAATATGACTGATTGGATCGTTGTAAGTATTGCCGAAAATGGATTAAGTCGTCCACTAAAAGCTCTTTGAAACTCGGATGTTGAGCCAATATGGCAATAGAAAAAATTAATGTAGAAAGGAAAAGGACGTATGGATATGAGTGTAGAGTAACTGTCACTATATACTAAATACAGTCAGAAAGTGCAACAACCAGGCACTAAAACATTTGACGACCCGACTCCTGGCTTCAACACATCTCCGTAGTGTTAACGAGAGACCAAAGAGGGAAAGGTAATACTGGTTTCGTCATCGTCCAGTAACAATCAACATTTTTTGTTCTTGTGGGACTGTAGCTTCAACTACTAGCTTGTGCTCATTTTCGTTGCGCTTACCTTCCCCTCTTTGGTCTCTCCTTTTAACCTTGAACCTTCCAAGTTGGAAGGCTGTTGGTTAGCGCTACGGAGATGTGTTGAAGCTAGGAGTCAGGTCGTCGAATGTCTCAGCACTCTGTCAGTTTTGTGCCTAGTTGTTGCATTTTTTTTTACTGTAGTAGCTAGTTACAGTGGTGGACAGTTACTCTTAACTCGTATCCATATGTCCTTTTCCTTTCTAATAAAAGCTCTATCCGCAAATATGCCGAGGCGGCTTGCCGTCTCTCCCTCTATGCCATTCAACACAACTGTTGAGCGAGCAGCTTTTAGGCCAGCCCCATTGCACAACAGGTAATAGGCTACTAATAGCGTAACGCAGCTAGGTAAACACGAATCGATGAAAGAGGCAGACTTCTTAAAACAAAGAGACTAGTTGTGAAGGACACAACATTTTCAGCAGTCAGCAGTAGGAGAAATTGCTCTCAATTATGCAGCAATACTAGGCTTACACGTTTGTGTCATGCGTTCTGAGACGGAGTCCTTGACTAGCTCGTCACTGGCCGCACTCAGAGCAGCAGTCGTCACTACACATGGGTTGGGAAGCAATGGACAAAATTAACACTTGCCATGGACACATGCACTGCTTACCAGCTAAGTTAATATGTCATACTGTACTGCAGCAAGCAAGGAACTGGCAATACCTGCACCAGGCCTATCTAATGTGACCCATGCCATTGTGAATGAGAAGAGGCAGCATTTGACAGTATGAGCGGTGTGATGAACGGGAATGCATAATACAAGCCAGTCGAGCATAGGTACATGTACTTACGGACGCAAGCTGGCTGCACACCGCTCCACTGGCCGTTGATTTCACAAGTACGCACGGCCGAGCCCATAAGGACATAGGGAGATGTGCACACAAACGTGGTCGTGTTGCTGAACATCAAGCCGTTCACGGTCATTGAGCCCAGTGCCGGTGGTGACAGGACCTGGCAGTCGGTTTGACCTGCACAAGCACAGAGTGCACAGAGCACAGGCATTCAGTGTATGCATGTTTGGCCTAGGGGTGAAACGAGTGCCAAAATTGAGGACTTGAGTACTCTTTGAAAAAACGAGCGAGTATTCGAGCGAGTACGAGTATTTTACTGACAACATAAAACAATGTACTGCACACACTCTCGTAACACTGAACGTATTACACCTGATACTCATGTAGTCTTGCATGCAGCCTAGTGCAGGAAATAGTCTGAACTACGTCTTTCGTTCGTAAGTAGGGACAAGTAATAATTTCACACTTGCATGGGTTATCAGTACTGGTCAGAGTAACAGACGTGCTTGATGTACAAGCATACAGTACACTGTGCATAAGATACTTTGAGTATTTTGCGAAGCGAGTCCTCACTCCTTTCGAATTTTCGAGCAAGCGCTCGAGTATTCGATATACTCGTTTCATCCCTAAAACGTTTGCGTATGTGTGCGTGGCACAGACGTTGGTTTTGAATACATTGTAGTACACGCATTGTGTAAAGGAAATTGATGCGAAGACTGCCTCAACATGGCCATGCAAAGTAATAAAATAAATACAGCAGTGAATAGCGGTCAACAGTAGCTCTACATTTTGCTTGTAATAGAAGTCATTAGCGTCAGAGCAAGAAGAGGGACAAGACGAGTCAAGGGACAATCCGGAGGACGCAATACCATACGACCAACTGTTTGTTTCTACCAGCGTTATTGTACCGTCGACACAGCTCTGACGACGATATACTGGGCGAATGCCGCGGGGCCTCCCAGCGTGTCAGCGGCAGTGGGTGATGGGTAGATAACAAGGTAGCTTGCGGACAACATCGGTGGCATGAAGCCTAGTGACTGCCAAGCGTCTTGGCGCGACGGGCGAGCAGTACAGTGTCATGCCCCAGGGGCTGCTGTGGCTGTCGACGTCGGCGGGTCGTGAGGTGCGTTCGCAGGCCTTCATGGCGCTCGGACAACTGCAATACTAGTACACAGACTCTCACTACTAGCTACATAGTACTCTGATTCTGGCACGTTATTTCTGCATTGAATAGTGATTGATTTTCCGCGCCGAATATCCGACGCTGCATGCATGTCCAACCCGCGTCAACAGTACTTCACACTTTCCTTTTCCTGCGTTATCACCTCAGCTATGCCAGTTTTGTATGTGGAAACCCCCTATATAATAGCAGTTTGGTCTATATTTTTAATCATTCAATATCTACCTTCACTGATGAGCTATGTATTAGCGAAACAGCTGTCTGAAGGAGTTTATCAATATCGTCTACGGAAGTGTCCTCGCAGTGGTGATGGTTGTGTGCAGGAGGGTCTAGTCGGCTAAAGAGCGCAGTGTGGTGGTGGAGGTGACTCAACATTTTCTTCAATGGCCGAGAGCTCTGTCGCACCCTGTAATAATAATAGAAGTCATGGTACTACTATCAGTGCTGCTGCTGGTGCTTACCTGGAGCTGGTGTGACCTTGCCTGGGCAGTACTGTGCATCAGAGCCATCAGCACAGTCGTACCAAACACCGTCGCAGCGCTGTGATGGCAGGATACAGCCACAGGCTGGAACGCAGGCAGGGCAGGTAGCCAGACTGGCACTGCAGTTGAATGGCATGGCTGGATACACGTACCCATACACACAACACACAAAGCAGTCAAGAGATGAAGAAGGTGTCTGCTCGGCACATCTTTTGTACAGTCAAGAGATATTAGCATATTTGGAGGAGGTGGTAGCCTAAAACAGGCTCGACAAAAGTTACCGGCTTATGCCAACAACTCAGTGTTCTGGTAGAGTAGACGGTTCGATACCGGAACGCCTTGACAGCCAAATTTGTATAGACCCAAACCGATCATCAGCGTTGATTTTTCACTCTAAATATGTTTGTGGAAGGAAACTGGCATGTTGAAGTTTGCTCTGGGGCCAGAGTCAATCGAACTGAGCCACTCCTTTGTGTTGACCCATTGCCTCCAAGTTGCCCAATTTTTCGCTTCAAAAAAGTTCAAATCAGAGGTGGCTCCAAACCGGACACGTTTTAGAGTGCACATCAAATTCACTCTGGGTCTGAAAGTAGGTAATTGCTATTGCTCCACGACGGCCAGTACAGAGTAACAATAAGCCTTGTGTGTGCTTCCATTAGTTTTGATTGGTATGCGGTGCTTTATTGGCAAGAGGCGAGCCGCTGTTTACCTGCGACAAGAAGTGGATTTTTCGAAAGTCGTAAAACTCAAGTCGCAGTGCGAAGCAACACGTCAAAAACTCACCTGCTTGGTATGGTGCGTCTGGTCATCGCAGAGCCATGAAATTTTGGCTCGGAGTATAACACATCGTAGTCTCACTGTGACATATGTTTTCTAATGAAAATACCAAGAGAGAAAGTGAATATTGAGTCCGTTCCGGTTTGCAACCTGTGTCCTATTTGAAACCGTCGCCTCTACCCGGTGAAACACCCTAACCATACACCTACAAGTATAACATATATCCTAAGGACTCAGGCTGAGATGCTCGACTGGTCCTGGGTCCTGTGATAAGCACGATCATCATTTGTGATGATGAAAAGTGGCAGGTAACACCCAGACTATTACATGCTCTGTAAATAGGAAAGATCAACGCCACCAGAATCTGCCTTCCTACAAGCCTGAAGCTTCTCTACACAAGAGGGATATATTGGCTCTCTTGAAATTCAACTTACGATTACACGAGGCAGCTGCCCCACTCCAGGAACCGTCAATCTGGCAGATGCGCACAATGCTTCCCTGCAGGTTGTATCCGGAATTTCAGCCGAAGACGACGCTGCCTCCAGCAGAATAGTTTGTGCCCTGGGAGTAGCCGTTGGTCGGTTTAGCTAGCGGTGCTGTACACGTCACAGGCACATACACACACAGGCACACACACACACACACACACACACAGGCACACACACACACACACACCTTGACCTTGATACACACGGATTCTTCATTATTTGCCACGTTTGAGCTGAGCTGCGATCATCGCGCTTTGTTGCAGTGTGCTAAAAAACAAGAACAAAAAAACGGCCAAAAAAGTGGGGCGGCTGAGGCCGCCCCAGCCACCCCAGCTGTGCCGGCCTTGCATGCCTGGTGTACGGTCTGAAAGATGAAAGATGGAGCTCTTGTATACACGGGCCCGGAAAGTCTGCTTCGCCTGCTCGGCAGCAGCTTCGTAGTGGTGGTCAAGGGTCGAAGACCGACGGATACGGATCAACTCCCCAGTGATCACACCTTTACCCATACTACGGGGGTGATTACTACCGGCAAGCAGATACAGGAAACGATTGGTGACCTTGAAATGAGGCTTCACAGCCATATTTCCCTTACTACGGAAAACTGTGGTGTCCAGGAAATCAATGCAATCATGTGCCAGTTCATGCGCAAACTCGAGGGCCGAACACTTATTAATCCTGTCTAAAGCGCGCTGAACTTGACCTTCGTAACCATGCAATGAAACAAAAATGTCACTGATAAAGCGTCTATAAACCTGAACCTCTAAACCCTCCCCCTCTAAGATCGGCAAAATGTACCGATTCTCCAAATACAGCATAACAATGTCGGCATAGACCACTGCTGCAGGAGAACCCATGGCAGTCCCTTGGATCTGCGGAAACAAATCGTTATCGTACACGAACCCGTTAGTCTTCCGTATGACTGACATCAAGGAAGTCACTGCTGTTGTTAACCGTGTACGAAGGGCCGGGGGAATCCACCTTGTATACCTGTGTGTGATATACCACGACAATGCAACGTGACCGAGCTCGCTGGGGATGTTGGTGTAAAGGCTGGTCACATCTATACTCAAAAATAAATGATCGTCCCGCACAGGCAAACCTTCTACCAAGTTGATGAAATCCGTAGTTCAGGCCAGAACAGTACTTTCCTCACGTACATACAGGTTCAGTAGAAAGTCAATGAACTTAGCGGGATAGTAGCCAGGACTATTCAGACTAACAATAGGCCTAACCTTCAGGGCACAGGGCTTGTGTGTTTTGAGAAGTCTCCTGAAAACGGGCATGCGCCCCCGGCGCGACTAAGAACAGTGACATATAAAATGGTCATACGATGCCCAATGCGATGCCTAGTCATGGTGAGTAAACAATTGACCCGGGTCGCAAACACGAAGTCTCAACACAGCCTTGAGCCTGTTGGTTGCCATCGGCAGTCTAGCCACATGTTCATCTAGCCCCTCAGGAAAAAAAACCAGTCATTTATAATGTTGGGCATTGTGATGCTGGGCACGACCTATATCATCATAGTGAGATCCGTCCAGGACTACTATCACAATAGACTGCCTTTGAATATGCCCGAGTCTGATCGCGTTCTAATTCCCAAACTATGTGCTGCATGTGTACACTCCGCCTATGGTTAGTCTACTCCAGAACAACGCCTGGAGAGGTTCATTGGGGGCATGATGTCCCCCACCCCATCCCCCTTGCCCCCTGCACCTGAAGTACCGGTATTGCCCCCCCCCCCCAAATAAAGTACAGGACACAGATGGAGCACTGGGGAGCACGTAGCAGTAGGCAAGTTGACGATGCCAGTGCAGACACACCTCACCTCGGTCACCACACTGGCACAGTCACATGGTCTCCAAGGAACATAGCTACCAGAGAACACAAAGAATGGGAGTATATAGTGCTATCCCGGAGGATAGACAACCTCCTATACAAAAATACCTACTGATAGAGTTCTGTGTAGACCCTATGTGCACATATGTGTGGATGAGTACTGGTAAACGGACAGCTAACCCTAGTCTAAGTAAAATAAATGTAGAATGTAGACCCTGGGCAAAAAAATAAGTAATTAAAAATAATAGCAACACATGAGGGAACTCGGATGGAGAGCCAAGGATTAAAAGTAAAAAAGAGGACCATAAGTTTAC